AATATGCAAATTTTTTGGTGGGAAAGCGATCTCGGGAACCACACGAGCTAAGGGGCTGAAACTTTGCGGAGATACAAAAGGTCTTCAACCCATTCGCAAATTTATCATTGCCTTCATTCCACATTATTAACATCGCGCTATCTTTCTACAGTAAAAAAAGAGTGTAGCTGAAATCTTAAATTCAGTATGCAAATGTTACCTGTCCACCAAATTGATTGCACGGAAAGGCTGCAATTGCCAGGCCCTTGTCCTTGTAACGTTCTGCAAGCTCCTTGAACTCGGTATAACTTGAATTCGTAAAACCACATTCCGATGCAACGTTGACAATTATTACCGGTTTCCCTCTAAAAGTAGTACCCATAATTAATGCATAAGAAAAAAAAGGGTTTGAGCTCATTAATACCTACGTGGATGGGGAACATCCCATTAAAATTGCAGTCTTCAAATTTTTCAGGTTCCCCAGTTAGCGACCAACCCGAAGAATACTCCACCGACCTGTGCGCGGGTACCACACACACCCGGGGTCCGGGTTTGTGCTCACTGAGATTTACGTGGACAGGGAACATCCCTTTAAAATTACGGCCTTCTATCTTTTCAGCTTTCCGAGTTAGCAACTTACTCTAGAAAAACTTTGGCGGGCCCGTGCGTGGTACCACGCATACCGAGGGCTGGGTTTGAGCTCACTGAGACCTACGTGGACAGGGAATATCCTCTTAAAATTACAGTCTTTTAGCTTTTCAAATTCTCGAGTTAGCAACTTACTCGAAAAAAACTTTGGTGGGCCCGTGCGTGGGTACCACACAAACCCGAGGGCTGGCTCATTGAGACTCACATGGACGTGAAACATCCCCTTAGAATCTCAGCTTTCTAGTTTTTCTGGTTACTGAGTTAGCGAGTCATCCGCAAAAAATTTTCGGGGGTCGCACGTGGGTGCCACGCGGGAAGAAAGCCCATTTTGGAGATTGGGGCCCGCACGTGCATGCAGATTAAGTCCCCAAATTTTCAGCCCTGTAGCTTTTGTAGGTCGTGATAGCGGTACACACAAACAGCCCCTCGTCAATCTGCGCTTTCTGCATTGCATAACTGCAAAAAACGCATAAAAATCTGGTTATGATCGACTTATAGATGCTTTTTGATAAATTATTATAAAAAAACTCAAAAACTACTTCTTTATTCGCAGTCTTAGCCATTAATATAAGTTTTCTTAAGACAATACTTCTAGATTTCGCGCATGCCAAAATAACCCCGACAAGGTGACTATAAAAATGCGGGAAAAAGAAGATAAGGTGGCGGAATTCTAAACTGATAAATTTAAAAAAAAACTACTTGTATTTTTCAAGTGAAACATCCTTTCCATCGACATCTTTGACGACAAAATCATAGATCGTTTTTGCTTCCGACATCGTTGACAGAGCTGCTGCCGCTGCTGGCCGAAAATACAACTGATAACGTGTTAACAGTGACGCAATGTTTGTCAAACCTGCAATGTCACCACAGTGCACATGATATTATCAAACATTCATATCGCAAAGTCGAACGGAGCAAACGAAGCACAATCAAGACAAATTTTGCGAGAAAAAGAGTATTTGGAACTAGTTCGAGTGACAAATCGCACGTCAGCCCTTAACATCAATTGAGGCATTCAAAACAAATTAAAAAAAAAACCCTCGTTCGAGTGATACTTAGAATCCAAAAGCGTCTTGGGCCGCTAGAGAGGGAGCCAGCACCAATTTACCATCGAAACGAATGAATGAATCCAAAAGAGGATGGTTGTCTAACTCTCTTAAACCAAATTCCCAACATTTAGCACGGAAGCAGCGCTCCTCGCATTTAATAGAAAAATATTTTAATATTGGAAGAAGCAAATAATGTTAAGAAACTACTAAAAATTACAAAATAAAGTATATTACCGTGACAAGAAATGTCTTGGCTCATAAGTCGTATACATTTCTTACCATTACCACAATTGGACCTTGTCAATAAGACGACTGTGGTAATTAGTACAAATATGAGTTTAATTTTAAACAGTTATGTTAAGATTAGTAAAAACAAAAGTAAAGGAAAAGCTTTATGTGTTTTTTTTTCCTTCACAATAAAACATATATAATAAAATGTGATGTTACTATATAAAGTATGATTTTAAAACAAAACAGATTTCGATGTAAAATACAAATCCTTTTCGTTCCAACGATTTTAACATCTCTTCCGTGTTACATAACTGATATCCTTTCAAACGCCGAAGCAGTATCCTGCGCTGCGAAGATCGCCCGGAAATCAACACATACCATCATAGGCGATGGATGTTCCCACCACCCCGGAGATATAGGTAGCAGTGCTAAAACTGTAAAAACTCTTTTCCGCATCCCCGGTCCGCCCCCCTCCCCCCGCCCCTCTCAGGAGGCCATCCTTGACCCACCCCTGCCTACCATCAAGGATTGTTTTTCCGCAACGCCTAATATGCAGAAAGAACTGCCACATTTTCTGGACAGCATCCAAAATCAATGACGAAAGAATGAAATTCGCTCGCCCACAATCCGTATACAGTTCAGAGATCAGTGAGCGCTGTAGTTTCATGTACATAGATGAGTCATACAATTTTTTTTTTTTACGAAATCTTGCAAAGGTCGAAAATTTATTGCGCAACCTGTAGTGATATTTAACAATCGCATA